CTGAGCTTGGCACGACCGAAGGGCATGCTCCACAGATGAGCTGCCGATGCACGCCTGCCGTGTGCCCCGGAGCTCGAAGAGGCCAAGGCCCTGCGTCTTTTCAAGCTCGCCCTTCGGATTAGGGTTTAGGGTTTAGGGTTTAGGGTTTAGGGTTCAGGGTTTAGGGTTTTAATGTAGGGGCCTTAATAATTAGAATTGGGGGTTTGGGGTATAGTATACCGTATTTATGATAAAGAACCCCCTTAGAATCGGGTTTGGGGTATAGTATACCATATTTATGATAAGGAAGCCCCCAAAACCCTAGTCTAATTATTAAGGCCCCTACATTAAATCTACGTGGCGGAGTCGTAGCAATGCAGTATCGGCGTACACATGAGGTTCATGTGCGTATCGAGTTCTTCATACAAGCACATGAATTTATGTATGTATAGATGCATACGTACATTTATAGTACCTGTTTATAGTTGTCATACAAGGCTTAGAGTCTTAGAGGCTTGGGGTTAAGAGGTTTTGGGCACGTGTTGACTGGCAAGTGGTGCCCATGTGGCCTCCCTAAGACCAGCAGCAAACACGTTTTGCCGAAAGTGTTGCACTCAACACACCCAACCCCGCACCCCTTCGGGGATCGTATGGCAACTCAGCTTCCATGGGCTTGATCAGGTTCTGGGTGTACAGTTTGGGTTGCAGGGGGTTGCAGATTTCAAGCCTCGGCTGAGCGGTGCTAAAACCACCATCACTCCATGCGAGGCTCCAGTTCTGGCTCCATGGACACCAACACACCCTAAACCCTAAACCCTAAACCCTTTGAAGCCTGAGGCTGCCAAACCCAAATCGTCGAATCAGAATCTTGGCATGACGCAAACAACTTGGATTGGGCCGATAGCCCCCTGATGCCTGACGCTTCGAAGACAAGCTACACCTATAGTCTCCATTGTAGTTCCTTTTTGGGGATACCTTGTAAAATCCTTATTATATAATTGGTTGAACCAAAAAAAGGAACTACAATGGAGACTGCAGGCACTGATGCAAGAAGTGTACAGTCGTTGGACAATTCATTCTCACCCTTGGGCATGGACCTTCCACGAGTTGCTCCTAGGGAACAATATGAGCGTCAGGCAGTGCACAAGACTCATGCATGATAGCTATGGCCGTCAGCAGTTTTAAGAAACACCGTTTTTGAGCGTCGAGCCGACGGGTCTGCAGAGATCAAGGTTCGTCCGAAGCCAGCATCCCGAATCACCGGTAGCTCAACAAAACGTACCGGCGGAGCCTTGTCGACGAAGTCTCCACTTGAGGGTGCCAGCAAAGCCCACTCGCCGGCACCACAGCCACCCGCTGGTCCCTCCCGAAGGTACCTGGGCTTCGAATTAAATTAGAATAGGGTTTTGGGGGAAAGGGCTCCTTTAAAGGGTTCTATAAGGGCTACTATAAGGGCTTAGGGTTTGAAGGCCTTAACAACTAGAAAAGGGTCTTGGGGCCCACTCTACCATAATTATGCTAAAGGAACCCCCCATGTAGTAATGGAAATTGTTTAGGCCCCTAGATGAAAGCCAGAATAAACCCTAAACCCTAAATCCTAAACCCTAAACCCCAACCCCTAAACCCTAGACCCTCCCCTTAAGGGGTGGGTCGCTGCTCAGAGCTTCAGGCTTCCCAAGGCCAACGGGGAATCTGTGTCGGTTGTCCGCACTGCTGGGATCAGACGGGTCGCTGCTTAGGGTTTAGGGTTTAGGGTTTAGGGTTTAAGGTTTAGGGTTTAGGGTTTAGGGTTTAGGGGGCATCTTGAAAAATTGCAGGGAAAAGGTGCTGGAAGCTCGGGAACATCCATGGCTTTTTAGCCAGCGATCACCACTCAGATCTTTGAGTTTTCGCGAACTTTCAAGCTGTCTGTTTGGCACTTTGTTATGCTGCTGTCGGGATCAACAACCTGAAGCACGCTCTTCGAAGATTTGCGAGTTGCGTAGTGTCTTCGTAGAAATGCTGTTGGGATTCCCTGAAGCCGAGAACTAAGTTCGAACGAAGATCCCCAACCCATATCACGGTTTAGGGTTTAGGGTTTAGGGTTTAGGGTTTTGGTCGAGGCTTTCAACAAAATGTCCAAAGCACAGCCAAGCTGCACCATGTCCTGCTGAGTCACATGCTCCCGAAGGTACACGATGCCACCCAACACTGCATCTCTTCCAAGAGGGCAGTAGGTGCCGGCGAGGTACCAGTCGGAATGTGTCACTTTCATACCTGCAACTTCTGAGCACTGTCAGCTCTACCTTTAGTATAGACATTACCGTACCGCATGGCCAGCTTCAGCGTTGTCGTTTCTAGTCTCATTACTTCATGTTCGTATCCATCGGATTTCATTTTAAGCAAGACATTTGACTAGCACCATCAAGGACATTATGACTAGTGCCATGTCACAGGCCTCTGCGGTTAAGGTTCAGTTCCGCGTTCACAGATCTCGTGACCCACAACAGGTCCGGAATTTGATAGCGAAGAAGCTCCAGATATGCTCGCAGCAAGGACTCCACAGACTCTGTACATGATTGTTAATGGGACCAACAACATCATCAACCATAGCAGCAGTTGGCATCGCTTTAAAGTTTTGCTGCGATACCAGTCAGACGAACAAACTATTGGGTAAGCATATTGGATCTTGAATAATGGCCACAAATCTAAAGCCCTGGCCACACCAAGTCCCAAAACCAAAACCCCCTCTGGTACCTATAGTCTCCATTGTAGTTCCTTTTCTTGGTTTAACCAAGAATATAATAAGGAGTTTATAAGGTATCCCCAAAAAGGAACTACAATGGAGACTGTAGGTAGGCCCCGAAGTTCCGTCCAGGCAGGGAGCAAGTACCCTCGTTGGTGCAGTTGGTGACCTTGGCAACGACGGTGACCGGATTCCCATCGGAGCGAACATCATACCTGCAGAATGAAGTTTTTTTGCTGCCGATACATGCCCTTTTCCGTGAGGAATGCAATCTGGGTTTCGATGCTAAGATTTCGAGCTTTTTGACACCCATGTTCTCCAGTGTTTGGGGCTGAGCATTCATCAAGTAGGCTTTATGGCTTCGGGGACATTGCACCAGAAGCACAAATTTGTTGAAATGCGGAGTGCTGCGCATCTTGGAGCGCGTGGTGTTTAGTGCTGTTGCCTGCAAATCTGTTTCTTCAGCGAGACAAGATCGAATCTGCAAACACGAGTCGCAACAATAAACATAGGGCTATGGTTCAGTGATCTGGCACAGAACCACCTTTCTCAGTGTTCAGCATATCGGCAGGTTGCTTCACTCTCCCGTCCTCGGGCAACTTGCAAGCTAACCAACTTGAAATCTGCGTCTTCTCATGGGCGCTATGGAGTACCGAGTGCCGGCTTGCGCTTTATGTCAAAGGATCGGACGATCAGGTCGACACCTAGGCCGACTTGCAGGGTCAACCTCCCCTGCCAAAGCTTGCGCCAGGCTTCCAGTCGGTATGTTAGCAGATTGCAGACGAACCCCTGAATGCTTTGATGCTGTGCGAAAACATCCTAGAGAACAGCAGGCCCTCGAGAACGAAAGAGTGGATGCACATAGAAGCAAGAGGACGACCCATGTCTGTAACCGGACCGCACTGAAGCTCTGAACATACGGCCCCCGTCCTGCAGCTGGAATATCACAAAAGCCAATGTAATGGTCAGGAAAGAGGGCCCGGCAACACACTCACACACGGCTGCATCTAGCCAAAGTGAACCATCAAGCCGACATTCCATTGCCAAAGGACAAACATGCTACCCCCTGTGGGACATTAATTTGCGAGGGCTTCGTTAACTGAGCCCTACATACACGTCTCAGCAAGCGAGCCCTCGTTATTCGCACCTGAAAACACGCATGACGTGACCATTACTTGGGGGTTCATGTGTAATTATAAATGGGGCTACACATAGGGTAACTATACTTATCACCCCTACTAGGGGACGTATGAACCCCACAGATAACTGCCCATGAACCTCCGAGTAAGCCCCTCGTCAGGCCCCAAGCCTCGCCACATTGGCAACCCTAAACCCTTAACCCTAAACCCCTACACCCTAAACCCTAAACCCTGCATAAACCCCAAACCCTAAACCCTAAACCCCAAAGTGCCCTGCCTCATGCACTGGCTCTCAAACTTGTAGCTCGCGCAGGTTTTGTCTGCACGGCACTGAGATCTGCACTTGGCCTCCAGCTGGTCTAGGGCCTAGGGTTTAGGGGTTTAGGGTTTAGGGTTTAGGGTCTCAGGGTCTAGGGCCTAGGGTTTAGGGTGTTGATGGTTTAGGGGGTTTAGGGGGTTTAGGGGGTTTAAGCGGCTACTTGGAGGTTCATGGGTAGTTCTAAATGGGGCTATCAGTAAGGCAACTAACCTAAACCCTAAACCGTGCCCCACTTATAACTACCCATGAACCTCCAAGTAGGGTCTGCATCAAAAAGTCAGCAGACAGGCAAGCAGACCGGAGCAGGCAGCAAGTCAAATGTTAGGGTTTAGGGTTTAGGGTTTAAGGGTTTGAAAAAATCCTAAACCCCAAACCCAAAACACTGGAACTTCCCAAACACGCTTCTGTCTGGGGCTTGGAACACAGAGTTCACTTGGAGGCTCATGGGAAGTGATAAGTGGGGTTAGAAGTCCCCGAATATGGGTTATTAGTTTAGTTACCGACTTATAACTCCATTTATAACTACCCATGAACCCCCGAAGTTCTGTCTACGGCTTGGAACACAGGGTTTAGGTTTTTGTTCCTGATGATACCTTCGACTTTTGGGGCGGTCGGGGGCTGGGGCTCCTTGTTGAAACCTGTACCTACACTGTTGATGCAAGCCCCCTACTTGGAGGTTCATGGACAGTTATAAATAGCGTCATAAGTAGGGTACCTATACTTATGAGCCATATTAGGGGACTTATCACTCTACTTAAAACTACCCATGAACCTCCTAGTAATCCAAATCCCCAGACCGCGAACAACAAAGGCCACCCGAGAGCTGCACTCAAAGCTGAGGCTGGGAAAACTCACCGCGACACCCCAAGCCTAAACTCCCTGAAGCCCTGAACCCTCCACCTCAAGCCCTCTCTTAAGGGACAAAAGGAGGGACCCCTAGAAGGGACCCCTAATGCAAATACCCTATTTAACCCTAGATACCCCTTATGTAGTCTCACAAAGCCCCTATATGGGGAGTTTTCAAAATTTTGGTCCCGTTTATAAGGACGCCGTACTACATTGGGGACCGAGGGGAACTACCCATATAACCCCAAGGGTCCAGTCCCTCCTTTAGTCCCTTGACTCTCATTGCACACACAGAGAAGGCGGCTCCAGATACCCACAGACTTCTCCAATCTAGGGTTTAGGGGTATAGGGGTTCAGGGGTTTAGCGTTTAGGGTGTAGGGGTTTAGGGGTTTAGGGGTTTAGGGTTTAGGGTTTAGGGTCAGGCAAATAGGAGCTCAAAATCCCCAAAACCCAGAACCATAAACCATAAAACCCTACACCCCTTCAACCCCTGAAGCCATAAACCCCTAACGTAGGGGCCTTCATAATTATAACAAGGCTTTCGGGGGGTATTATAATTAGAATTATAATGAGGAAACCCCCAAAATACTATTGGTGATTTTTGAGGCCCCTATAGTAAACCCCCAAAGTCTAACGCTCAAAATTATGGGAAGACCTCCGTATTGGCGCTGGCATCAGGCAAGCCCGTGCCCTGTGGCAGCTTCCAGGCACTTTTTGGCTTTTGCTTTTTTTGAAGGGGGGGGGGTGTTCAGGACTTTAAGGGTTCGTAGGGCTTTGCGGCTTTAGGGCTGCAAAGTCGTAAAGCTTCGGAATTTGATAGGGTTCGGGGACCCTAAGCCCTAAACCCTATTAAACCCTAAACCCTAAACCCTAGCTTTAGGACTTTGGGGCTTTAGGCCTTTGGGGGTTTGGGGTTCACCGGATGCCACATGGCCAGCCTAGCAGGAAGGCCCGACTTGCGTAATGAGTTAGGGGTGTTAGGGTTTAGGGTGTAGGGTTTAGGGTTTAGGGTTCGACGGCTCCAGGATTCTTAAGGCTCTGAGGGTTTAGGGCTTGACGGTGTTTAAGGGTTTTCAGTTTAGGGCTTAAGTGCTTTTGGCCCTTCTTCGCGGGAACCTAATCTTGAGAAGGCTCCAGGCTGCCTACTTGCAGGGTTTAGGGTTTAGGGTTTAGGGTTTAGGTTCGTGGGTGGTTATAAGTGGGGTTACAAGTCCCCTGATATGGCTTGTGAGTGTAGTTACCCTACTTATAACCCTAAACCCTAAACCCTAAACCTCCAAGTATACCTAAACACTTCAGGGTTTCGTGTCCAGTGCTTTGGGTAGAGGGCCCAAGAAGGCATACTGCAAAGCGCATGCTTATGAACACAGTGCTGCCTACTTGGGGTTCATGGGTAGTTATAAACGGTGTAAAAAGAAGGGTAACTATAGTTATAAGCCATATCAGGGGACTTATAACCCCACTTATAACTACGCATGAACCTCCAAGTAGAGGACCCAAGAAGGCATACTGCAAAGCGCACGCCTATGAACACAGTGCTGCCTTGGGCTTAGCCCTTTGCATTTGCCCTCTGCATAGAACCAGCCTGAACCACAGAAAACACCCAATCCTGCAACACTCAAGCACAGTAACACCCGCTGGAAACTATACGACCTCAAGCCCTGTCGCGGTTCTACTGAGCCCTGCTTAAGCCAAGCAGAGATAACCCTAAACCCTAAACCCTAAACCGTGGAGATGCCTTGATGCGCTGTGGAACCCAGCACACCGTATCCTGCACGACGATGGTCAGGGTCGTCTCCACCTCAGCAGCTCAGGCTTGAACACATCCGAAAAAGGGGATGATAGGAATTCGGACTACTTTGAAGGATCATGGGACTTAGTAAGTAGGGTTATAATTAGGGTAACTATACTTATAACCCCAGTTAAAGGACTTATAACCTTATTTACTAAGTCCCATGATCCTCCAAGTATAGGAATTCGGATTTAGGGTGTTCTCGGAGGTTCATGGGTAGTTATAAATGGGGTTACTATAAGTGCTAGGGTTTAGGGTTTAGGTTTTAGGGTTTAGGGTTCATGGGCAGTGATAAATGGGGTTATAAGTAGGGAACTATACTTATAACCCATAGTAGGGGACTTATGACCCCACTTGAAACTACCCACGAACCTTCAAGTTGGGTTAAGGTGTAGCCGTCTAAAGGGCGCTCGAGTTTGGGCCTGCTGACTTCC